CATTTTAAAAACTACTAAATTACAATTTCTGAGAAAAACTACTCAATTACAGTAATTTGAGTTTTTGTAATTAGTTACTTTACACCACTGGTTATAAGTCACATAGCAGAGCTGGTACAGATGTGTCCGTACCTGTACTATCACTCACTGAGAGATTTAAAGACTCAAAGCACACAACCGTTTCATATTACGACGAATAACATAGCGATGTAAGTGAAAATAAGCAAAACTGAACCATGCCATGTAAAGTTCTAAACATTGTTCAATATTGAGTGTCTGTCTGCAGCTAAAAGAAAGAAATGTGGCGTTCTATGGTTGCGCTTTTTGTGTGCCAGGCTGGAGAAGGCTGTTTGCCTTATATGAAACTGTAAACTATCATATATATATATATAAGGCCCTTTGCTTGAAGCCTGCTCGTGACACTTAAGCTAGCCCTTGACGGTCTATAAAGGACCAGCACAGGCTTGTTTGCAGGGTTTAGTTCCAGACCTACTTCAACATCTTCATTTCTTCACATTCCATCCTTACCTACAAACTGCAGTCAAACAAATAGGTTTGTGTTTGAATGTAGCACATATTATATTTCCAATTAGCCTGAATTGGCATTAATCAAGGGAGTTACATAATTCAATAATTTTCTTTTCGGCTTAGTCCCTTTATTGATCTAGGGGTCGCCACAGCGGAATGAACTGCCAACTTATCCAGCATATATTTTACGCAGCGGATACCCTTCCAGCTGCAACCCATCACTGGGAAACACCCATACACTTATTCATACACAAACACTATGGACAATTTTAGCTTGCCCAATATACCTGTACCGCATGTCTTTGGACATGTGGGGGAAACCAGAGCACCCGGAGGAAACCCACACAAACACGGGGAGAACATGCAAACTCCAAACAGAAATGCCAACTGACCCAGCCAAGGCTCAAACCAGCAACCTTCTTGCTGTGAGGCAACAGAACTACCTACTGTCCCACCACGTGACCCTAGAGTTACGTAATCAGATTACTTATTTCAGGTAACTAGTAACATAAAGCATTTTAATTTTTGAAAACAAATGTCAGTTACTATTTCACACAAAATAGGCAACTATCCAAACTTATTTACAAGCCAAACACTTGTTTAGTACAGATGTGTTGTGTACATTGTGGAGACATCATACTTATTGCAGTCCTATCTTGAATATAATCATACATTTATCCATTTATCTCATCTGCACAAAAAACAGATTCATTACCTCTTAAAATGAATGCTAAAACACTATCCTGAATAAGAAACTGTGAAATACTCACAATATTCACTGCAGAAGAGTGTTTCCTTTCATGCATTCTTTACTTCATGCAATCCAGAAATGCAGCCTGGCTTGAAAGGTTTAGCTGTACAGATGGGAATTTAGTTATGTTTGAAGTTTATAAATTTTACTTTTCACTTTTGTTGTAAAGGGGCTTACATTATATATATATATATATATATATATATATATATATATATATATATATATATATATATATATATATATATATATATATATACAAGCAAACCCAACCCAAATGAAAAACGTATTGTACCGCATGTCTTTCCATAAAAGTAACATTTAGTAACTGTACAATAACAGTTTTATATTTGGGTAAACTATTTCTAACTAGCTTCCTCTTCTGGCAGTGGCACAATAAGCACAAAAGAAAAAAAATCTCATTGTTTATCCGCTGCCCTATAATCTTTCGTTTTTCACTAGAGGGAGCCATTTGCACACATTCCAAGCATCTTCATATAAAAGGAAATTTATCTGTACTTGAAAAACAAAAACTTTACATAAGAAGAAGCAGTGAATTAATGCAATAATCTATAATCTACTCCACCTGTTTAAATAATTTTACCAACCTGGCAAATATTTCAGTTTTCCAGCGGTTTTCCAGAAGCACAGATGGTGAAGCTGAACTTTAAGACTGAGTTCACCGTGAAGACCTGACCTGACTTTTGACCTTTTCGTATGGCTTTTTCTCTCTGAAACAACAACATATAACACTGAGCTTTTCCACTGCACAGAAAAAAACACCAGCAGTCTCCTGGTGTGTCTTATTGCGGCAATATATGTATCTTTTTATTTTTATTGTTTGAAATTTGTCTCATTTTAAAATGAGCAAAGCAAAGTTAACCAGTTTGGCATATTTGTTAAACAAGTTACATCATGGGGCAAACTGAGTTAAAAATTGTAGTCAGAATGAATTTTATGAATATTTTGTACATTCAAAAACTTACCAACTACATTACAAATTAAATAAACATTGTATTGTAATGTTATGTTGTAAATGTGCATTGACTTTTTTTTTTTCTGACAAAGACACTAGCCTGATATTTTGTGTTTATCTTTACCCCTTCATAATATATAATTGTAGTGCACATCATTCCAATATTATTATATATAAATCATGGATAAATGCAAATGGATAAATCTTGTGGTTTAAATGATAGTTCTAAAGTAGAAAGATTTTAGATGTCAATGAGTTATTAATATTTTGGAGCTGTACTTTGATCCTAAAATAGAGTCTTTTAATATGCCATTGAATGATTCTTGTTCTAAATATGCTTTTTTGTGAATAAATATGATTTTGTTTGTACAGAAATTATTAAACTAATCTCACAATGGCATTTTAGCGTGTCCTATTTTCTTGCTGTCTTAAAAACAATAATATCTGAATGTTCTTGTCATTATGTTTAGTATTTGTTGTGCTTCACTCTTTTCTGCTATGTTGCCCAGTGTATTCAATGCTCTTTTACTGTTTCTACTAACCATTGTTTGTTACAGTTGCCTGTGTTTTCAGTGTTATTTGTTTCTTGCTGAACATACAATGTAAAGTGTCCTTGAGCCCTCGAAAAGCTTATTATGAAAAAAGTCATTATTGTTTTGACTTGAAAAAATTCTGAAGGTGGTACAGGCAACTTTGTGTGCAGTGTTTTTGGGGAATGCTGCAGAGTGATGTTGTTTAGTTAGTTTTTTTTATTATTATTGAGAATGAGAAATAAAATTGTATGTGGATGGTTTTGCCCTGATTAGTTGCCTTATTTCTTACCTGGTTGTCCTTTGATGGCATTACAAAGTTGCCCAAAGTATCATTACATTCAGAGTGTCTTCTGTGAGATAAGTTCATTACATGTCTAATAATGTCTGGATTGTTTGTGTTATCTGGTTGTTTAAAACAGTGGCTCACTGTCTTTCAGACATCTTGATCACATCATTTTGACGACCTTACAGCAGTTACATCACACTGAGTAGAATGACAGTCTACAGTGTTATTTGCACTTAGATAGTTTATAGATGGGATGTGGGATGGGATTTGTTTACTTTTATAAAAGATGACACACTTTTAAACCAATATTTTTTTTTTTAACCAGCCCCTTACAAAAAGTTAATCATGGTTTTAAAACACTATATAATATCAACATGCAATTTTAGCAAGACCACAGTTGTGCAAATAGCTCAAACAATAGCAGATAACCATTCTACATTTTTATTATGTTAATTAGTAACAAAGTAAGTAGTAACTGTCAATAAATGCCCTGTTAACTGAAAATCTAAGAGATTACTGTTCATAATAAATCATCTAATTACAGTTGTTTATAATGTTATTGTCTTAATTAGGCAATAATAAAAATAATAATAAAGTATTTCCTTTTTTAAATAGTTCCCAAATGGTGTTTAACAGAGCAAGGAAATGTTCACAGCATGTCTGATACTTTTTCTTCTGGAGAAAGGCTTTTTTTATGTTGTCTAGAATTAACCTGATTAACCTAGTTAAGCCTTTAAATGTCACTTTAAGCTGTATAGAAGTGTCTTGAAAAACGTCTAGAAAAATATTATTTACTGTTATCATGGAAAAGATTAAACAAAGCAGCTATTGCTTATAGGGGCTAATGATATTGACCTGAAAATGTTTTTATTGTAGCTGAAGTAAAACAAAAATAATTTCTCCAGAAGATAAAATATTATAAGAAATGCTGTGGAAAAAAATCCTTGCTCTGTTAATCTTCATTTGGAAAATATGTTTTAAATAATTTGAAAAAATTACAGGAGTGCTAATAATTATGACTTCATGTGACTTAAATTATACTGTGTTTAACTAAATAAATTTACATTTAATAAAACAGTATTGAAATAATGCATGGCAATACATGACAATTATGATGTCATTGCTTTGAAACATTCAGACACAGAAATTTGAAAAAATATTTAAATAGGCCTAAAGTTTTAACAATATTACTTAGTAATCAAATTACTTATTTTGACATACCCTGCCCAACATTTATTAAACCCTGTTTATTTTCATAAGAGGTTCACAAATTGGTAGTGGTTTTGAAGCCCAGTGTCAATGTATAGATATTTAAATGTAGGCCTACAATAGTTTGTTATTTAGAGCTGCAAAGTGATCCAAACTTTCAATAGGCTATGTCATCAAATTATTACTAAATTGCTATTTTGCTAATTAATTGCAGCCTTCATGTATGTGTGGTCCATGTAGGTATTATTATATAAACTAAACTGAATTGCTGTGTCTTCTGTAAATCATAGTATAACAACGTTTTTTTTTTACGTTAGCTTACCACATGGGGGCATTGAACATCCAGTGAACCACTCCTCTCACACTGACACAAATGCATAAAATGTCTTGTTTAGCGTGTAGCTCATATCAAGCTCATTTTACAATCTGGAATATTTTAACTGTATTTTCTTGGGACAATCTTCTTCACTCCTCTCTGTCAAAAAGAGGACCGGCGCCCACAAGCAACAAAAGACTTTTTTTTCGTAGTAGTACCCAATGTTCCCTGCTCGCAGGAGTTGCGGAGGCGTGGCTTCACTGCTGTCCCTCCGTCCAATAATGTAGCCGCGTGTCCCGTCAATCACGCGGGAACAAACAGATCACGCTTTCCTCTGACCAATCACGTGCGCTGCCATCCTGCGACCAGACATATAAATCAGGCTGACAGCCCTAAGTGTTGGGCAGAGGATGAGAGAACATCAAACACATAATATCCATTAAACTAAGTGGACAATCCACTCCTATTTTATACATTTTATTTTCTGTTGGTGTCAAGGTACGTAATTTACCTTATATTCCTCAGACTGTCATTTGTGTACAGTGCACGAATATGTTTTGTGAGTGCAAATATTGGTTATTCAGTTTCACTATTTAGTTTGGGAGTTTAGTTTTCAGAGATATTGACATGTTTTGTGATATCGCCTTTATCAATACTTCTGGCTGTGATGATGTAATCTAGTGCCGCGCTGTATCCATGACTACCTGCTGCTATCTGGTGTAGACGGGGAAGCACAGGGGAGCATCGAGATTAGTTGTTTTTTTAGATTAGAAATTAGGTTTTTTGCACTGACCTACTGATCTGTGGAGTGGATACTGATAACATGCAGATCAAAATGGAACCTTTCACAATTAAATACAAGAAGTCCCGATGCAGATTTAAGCACGTGGTCTAGTCCTCCCAACCCCTATTTAAAACCCGTTGTGTACCCCTTAAAAAACAAAATCGATTATATCTGTATCACTTCAATATGCCATAACAAGACCTATAAATCCCTGGCTGGGAATAAACTGTCTTTAATCCAATCAATGCGTGTTTGTTTTGAGATTAACTGGCTTTACAACATCGTCATCTGTTTGTGGTTTTATAGTTATCCTTGTGTTGTTGTTGACGTTGGCTGAATATGTTTGACTGGTGTGGGGTCTGTTATTGTTGACACTTTATCTGTTTGTCTGTTTTAGGTGTTTTATAGTAATAAAAATGGCCACGTCTGCCAGTTCTCAGTTGAGTAAAGTGGTAAAACAGCAGTATATGGAACTGCCTCAGGGAGACCAAGTACAAGCCATGTATATCTGGATAGATGGAACCGGAGAAGGACTACGATGCAAGACCAGAACACTGGACTCTGAACCCAAAAGCATTGAAGGTAAGCTGGACTTGAACTATTCTGCACTAATAGATTTGGTGTACACTAAAATGGATTGTTTGAGTAACACTTTGTTTTGATAGTCCATTTGAGTATTAGCATAATGTCTGCTTAATATCTGTTGATACTGCCTACATTTAACTGACTATAAGAAACTTTACAAGTACATGTCAACTTACAGCCTAACAGTCTACTTATAATCTAATGAGAATTATTTGGCATGTAGATGCAATGTAACTTAAATTCAACAAACAGACTATCAAAATAAAGTGTGACCAGTGTTTCCCCTTTGCTGATTTCGTAAAGATTTATAAAATAAAAATGTCTAAAACTTGGCTAAAAATAGGATTTATGTATGTATGTGCACATTTGGCTCTTAATTCTTGTGGATGTATTATGCATAGGTGATGTCATAATTCTTTACAAATTAAGATTTTTGTTGTTTATGAAATCTTCTGATAACTATGATTTTTAGTTTTAAAACAATGTGTAAATGGTTCATCAAGTTCAAGTTTTGGGTGCTAATGGGGTTATATTGTTATTCAGATCTTCCTGAGTGGAACTTTGATGGTTCCAGCACGTATCAAGCTGAAGGCTCCAATAGTGACATGTATCTCATCCCAGCTGCTATGTTCAGGGATCCTTTCCGCAAAGACCCCAACAAACTGGTTTTGTGTGAGGTTGTCAAGTACAACCGGAAAACTGCAGGTACATTCGAGAGGGGGTAAAAAGTAGAGAAAATATATAAATATTGTTCAAAGTTTGTTTAGACTTATTGCTACTCCAATTTTAACCACAGAAACCAACCACCGTCATACATGTAAAAAGATCATGGAAATGGTAGGACATCAAAGCCCTTGGTTTGGGATGGAGCAGGAGTACACTATTCTGGGTACTGACGGACACCCCTTTGGTTGGCCTTCCAATGGGTTTCCTGGTCCTCAAGGTAAGAATGTGCCCTTTTTTACAAATCTACACCATATATCAAATATCATCAAGCTGTCTGATTCATAATGTGTGCCCCTTATTTCTGCAGGACCTTACTACTGTGGAGTTGGAGCAGATAAAGCCTATGGCAGAGACATCGTGGAGGCGCATTACAGAGCCTGCCTATATGCCGGTGTGATGATTTGTGGAACCAATGCTGAAGTTATGCCAGCTCAGGTAACCTCTGCCCCAGTCTGCTCTGGAACAAACACCGCAGTCAGCCATTAAGCCATCTAAGATTTGGAATGTGACCTAAATTCTTGAGTTAATTCTTGTCTTACTCTGCAGTGGGAGTTCCAGGTTGGCCCGTGTGAAGGCATTGACATGGGAGATCACTTGTGGGTAGCTCGTTTTATTTTGCACAGAGTTTGTGAAGACTTCGGTGTGGTAGCTTCATTTGATCCTAAGCCGATCCCAGGCAACTGGAATGGTGCTGGTTGCCACACTAACTTCAGCACTAAGGAAATGCGGGAAGATGGTGGACTGAAGTAAGTACTAACATTGTTTTGGTGATTTGATTTATATTTTATTTAATTCTTTTCCCCTTAAACACTTAAAATTATATTGGAAGTATTTAAAAATGTAATGGTTAATGCAATTGTTAGAGGCTTAAGGGCGTCACACACCGGATGCGTCGCTCAGTGCCGCGACACGGCGCGCAACATGAGAGTTTAAAGTATCATACACCAGACGCGCACATTTGCACGCTATTTAAAATCAGATGGCACTCTGTGGCGCGGCAAAATATGAACAGTGTCCTGAGTTGTGGCTGGGCACCACAGACAGCTGTCAACTTGCAATGCCGGTGTCTGTACCCTGATAGAAACCCATGTTTAGAATTCTGAAATGCACATCGCCAAGCGGCGCTTCTGGTGTGCAACCTGCTTTAGGAATTGATGAAATTGATTGCTTATACATTTGGTCTCTTTCTACCTAGATGTATTGAGGAGTGTATTGAAAAGCTTGGAAAGAGGCACAACTATCACATCCGCACCTATGATCCAAAAGGAGGCCTGGACAATGCTCGTCGACTCACTGGCCACCATGAAACCTCCAACATTCATGAGTTCTCTGCTGGTGTGGCAAACCGTGGTGCTAGTATCCGCATCCCACGAGCAGTGGGACAAGAGAAGAAGGGCTACTTTGAGGATCGCCGCCCGTCTGCCAACTGCGACCCCTATGCTGTCACTGAGGCCCTGATTCGCACATGTTTGTTAGATGAAGAGGGTGATGAAACTGTGGACTACTAGATCTCCCATTTACTGGACTGAATTTCCCTCCCCTTCTCGCCATTCTATTTTTTTTTTTTTTAAGGCCATCAAGCCAAATTTAGTACTGTATCTTGTTTTCTATAAGGGTGGTTCTAACATGGCATTTTAATATCGTTGAAGTTGACTGGTCAACTTAACATTTTAAGATATAAATCTGAATTTAACCTGATATGACTGGGGACATGGTGTTGCAGGGCATGTCTTTCCCCTGTTTTGGTTTCATTTTTCCCTCATTTTAATGGTTTCTTGGGGAGGCCATTTCTAATGTTTGCATTGAAAACTCTCTGATTCCATGATTTTACTTTTTTGGTAGTTACGATGGACTGAATAAAGAGTTAAGTGCACAGAAGAACCTAGGACTGCCAAGGCTAGACAACATCTAATTACTTTTGAACCAATAGCTAGTTGTTGTTGTTGTCATGTTGACTTGACTTTTCAAGTATGTAATGTTTCGAGATGTCTTACTGACAGTGTATTAAATGGCAAAATTTGGTGTCCATTTATTTTTACTGTACACACTGTTCATGTTGTGCGGTACAAAGTCGCAGTCCAATAACTGTCCTGTTTTTATACTTGTGGAACTGTTATTTGTCTTGTTAAATCCCTGATTTATCAAGGATTTGATCCTGTTTTTGTCTAATACTATGATGTAACTGCACCTGTTTTGGTAAACCTGAAGATGCTAAAAGGAAACTAAAACATTTATTTTTACCACAAATTTGTCTTGTCTGTGTCCTCTTTAATTGTGTATTTAATGGCCCTGTAGTTAAAGATTAGCATCATCAAACTTAACTTAAAAAGTGGGATGCAACCGGGGCACTATAGGAAATAAGATCCTCTATCTGGAGGTGCAGATTAATTTTAAGTTAAACTAAAATTGAGTTTGGAAATAACACTGTATTTTGAAGGTTTTAAATTTAGTTTACATCATTAAAGTTCAGTGTACTTCTAAACATTTATTTTAACCACAAACTTGTCTTGTTTGTGTCCTCTAATTGTGTGTTTAATGGCTTTGTAGTTAAAGATTAGCACTATCAAACTTTTCTTAAAAAAAGTGGGATGTAAGCGGTGCACTATAGGAAATAAATCCTCCATGCAGAGGTGCAGATTAGTTTTGTGTTATACTAAAATGAGTTCTGAAATAACATTGTAATTTTAAAGTTTTAAATTAGTTTAGATCACTAAAGTTAAGCGTACATCTAAACATTTATTTTTAACCGAAATTGTCTTGTTTGTGTCCTCTAATTGTGTTTTTGATGGCTCTGTTTAAGATTAGCACTATCAAACTTTTCTTGTGTAAAATGTAAAAGGGGCACTGTAGGAAACAAACTTCTCCATATCTGAATGTGCAGGTTAGTTTGTGTTCAACTAAAAGTAATTGTTTGGAATAACTCTGTATTTTGAGAGTTTTAAATTAGTTTACATCACTGAAGTCAAGTGTACTTAATCAGTCATTTACACACTATCATTTCTAAATATGTGCAAATCTCCACATACCATAGTGGGTTTTTCATTCCTAAATGGAATTGGTTATTTTGCCTTGCTAAACTAGTTTCAGAAAACCTATTCTTAGAGAAATATTGTGCAAAATATAGATAATCAAACACACATTCCTTGGATACTGCAGAGTTTGCAGCTGAACTTTTGCTACATCGTCAAACCTTTATCTCTCTGCGAGGAGGACATAAACAAAAAGCCAGCCAGCTCCGTTAACAGTCGGGTCACATTCACTAACAGTGAGATTACACACTATTTGTTGGCTCGCAAACGGGAACAAAGAGGCGTCTCGGTTTCATTCTATGAAATGCAGGAACAAGACTTCCTGGGACAAAAATATTTACTCTATGTGCTTGTGCTTTTCTGTGCGGAGGGGTAGGGTTAATAAGTTTGTTATGGAACCTTTCACCTCCCATGTCTGACAGAACTGACAAATCGTAAGCGTATAACTGGCTGTCCAAAATTACAGCCAGCCAATCAGAAATTACAATAACATTTATGTCCATCCCTTAGAACAAGAGGTTGCTGGGCAGTTATTATACAGCTACTGTATATGTATTAGTTATTTTTAGTCTAGAATATAAAATAGGCTTTAACCTCTCTGCATCTAAGCATTTTGCCTTTTTTGTGCTGCATAAACTAAGAAAAAGGTGGATTTTTACATAGTACAAAATAAAACTTTTTTTAATGTGACACAGAAATATATTACTATTTATTCATTCATTCATTTTCTTTTCGGCTTATTCCCTTTATTAATCTGGGGTTGCCACAGCGGAACGAACCGCCAACATATCCAGCATATGTTTCACACAGCGGATGCCCTTCCAGCTTAAACCCATCACTGGGAAACATGCATACACACTCATTCACACACATACATTAGACAATTTTAGCCTACCCAATTCACTTGTACTGCATGTCTTTAGACTTGTGGGGGAAACCGGAGCACCCAGAGAAAATCCACGCCAATACGGGGAGAACTCCACAAGGAAACACAAATTGACCCAGCCGATGCTCGACCCAGCGACCTTCCTGCTGTGAGATGAACATGCTGCACCCTCCCACCATGCAGCCCTATTACTATTTACTTTCATTTTATTTATAATTTACTTTAATTACTGTAGTTACTTTACAATATTGCTATCTCAGAAATATAATGCATTATACTACTTTTACTTCTACTTTTAAATAACTTTCACCAAAATACCCGCAGAATTAAATATAAAAAAAAATCTAACTATATAAAAACATTCAAATGTTTATTAAAATGTTCTTTTCACACCAGAATGCAGATGCTGTTGATACATTCTGAAAATATTACATTATTTAGCACATTCGTTCTAATTAGTTGTCTTAACTTGCGTTATTGAAATTGTAACGAGTAATGATATTACAGAAAAGTATTAGTAACGGGTTATATTACTGTATTACTGCAAAAAGTAATACACTACTGCATTCACATTACTTCTGTATTGCATTTTTTTCCAACACTGTATATACTGTATTGATTTATACAATGATTGAAAGCGAATAATCATATAACAACAAATTTAGTAAACATTCGGCAACACTTTATTCTATTGGTCCATTTGAGTATTAGTAGACTGTCGCTTGATCTTTTGATACTGCTCCTTCAACAGACATTTAGCTGACTTTAAGAAACTTGTCAAGTACATGTCAACTTATAGTAACCATAACCCCAACCCTAACAGTCTACTTATAATCAAATGAGAATTAGTTGACATGTAGATGCAATGTAACTTAAATTCAATAAACAGACCATCAAAATAAGGTGTGACCAAACATTATATTTATTTTTGTTATGTGACTGCTCAAAGTCATTTAATTAAAGTTTCTCTGAATCATTAAGTTATTAAAAATTTAAAAACTTAATTTAATTTATTTATGAAGTTTGCACATTCGCCAATTGCACTAGGCACTTTTCGCATAATAAGCACAATTTAAGAACCCCTATACTTTGTTTACATCTGTTTCATTACTCCACAATCAGTATTATATTGCTTACTTTCATAGATATTTATATATTTACATTTTATAATTAAACTTCAGTCACTTCTGTGTATATATGTGTATTCATGTGTTTGTCGTGTATGTTGTGTGTATGACTTCACTGTGGACGGCAAAGTAAGAATTTCATTGTACAGGGAAACGGGTTTCCTTACTGTGTACATGACAATAAACAATTGAATTTAATTTAATATTTAGAAATTGGAGTAGACTTCCGGTTTGGCTGCAGAGGGAAATGGCAGGTTGAGCGCTTAGCTCTCGCAAGTCGGCGTTATATTTACCCCCGTGTAATTATTTTAGATTTTTAAAAAGTGATTTTCCTTCATTGATATGACGGGGGGAAAGAAAGGCAGAGGTAAAGGGGCGCAAAGTACAACGAATAACCACCCACACCGTGCAGGCCTAGACGAGGAGGACGACATGCGGGAAGAAGAGGACCGACAAAATGGAGGCGAACCAACATCTGAGAATGTGTCCACGGGGCTTGAAACCTTAAGCAAACAGATCAACGATCTGAAGTCGGAACTTAAGGAGGACTTAAAAACATTCAAAGACGAAATTAAGCATGATATGAGAGAAGAGTTCATTGAGTTCAAACAAGAAGTTAACCAGCAACTTTCAACGAACATGCTAACCATGCAAGAACACGGTAGGAAAATTAACGAGATGGAGACGCGGATCGATGACACCGAAACATGGAGTGCGGAGGCCAACTCCGCCCTTCAACAGGCAATAAAGGATCAACAGAAACTAGAAGACAGGTTGAACGACATTGAATCGAGGGCTCGACGAAACAATATCAGGATCCATGGTGTACCAGAGAACGCTGAACAAGGCTCGGTGATAGAATTTGTTGAAAAAATGCTCCGCTCCGAATTTGAGCTCGGCGACGTGGACTTGCAAATACAACGCGCGCACAGAGCCCTGGCGCCTAGACCGGGCCCAAACTCGCGTCCGAGGTCCATTATAGTAAATTTCCAGCAGTACAGCATCAAGGAGATGGTTATTCAAAAAGCCTGGCGAAAGAAAATCATGATGGAAGATAAACCGCTGTTTTTCGACCATGACTATACAGCCACCGTTCTCCATCAGCGCAAAGCGTACGCCAATATTAAAAAGGCTCTTAAAGAAAAGGGCATCCGTTTTCAGACGCCCTTCAATCGGATACGCATTCACTGGGAAGAAGGAGTGCAGGTGTACGGCAGTGCCGGGGAGGCAGCGCAGGAGCTGCGTCGGCGGGGATACAGCGTGGAGATGCCCGTGAGACCGCCGGGTAAGAGCCACCTGTTGGATCGTCTCCAGCGGGCTACATCGTGGCAGCGAGTGGGATCAACCACGAGTGTGGACACTGCCAGAAGAGCTAAAGAACGCCTACGGGAATTTGAACATGGTCGCAGCAATGTTTAAAAACCCACGTTATAGCAACCCTTTACATAATGATGTTTAATGTATGTGCGCCGGCTGGCGGGATGACGAGGTCAGCTGTGCCATTGGACACACGTAAGTGATCTATGATACACTCTGTAGCGGACTCATTGGTGAGGGGGCCCTTTCCGGGAGAGAGGATTTCCCCCTCCTCAACTGAAAACGTGAGAACGCTCTTCAGACTTTGGAAGTCTTTATTCTTTTCTGTTATAATGCTTGTTCTAAGCAGTTATTGGCTTGTTTCTGTGTTACAGTTTATTTTATTTAAGGTTTGCCTGTGGAAACATAGTGGTGTAAGAATGACTCATTTTGATGATGGTACAGTCTACTGAGGTTAAGCTAATGTCTTTAAACGTGAACGGTTTGGGTAACCCAATTAAAAGGTCAAAGGTATTGACAAAATTTAAAAAAGAGAAAGCAGATATTATTTTTATGCAAGAAACTCATCTCTCTCAACAAGAGCATGAGAAATTAAAGAGATTTGGCTTTAAAAATACTTATTACAATTCATATGAGCATTCACATAGAAGGGGAATTGCTATTCTTGTTGCTAATAAATTTAAATTCGAATTATATAAGGAAATAAAAGAAAAGGATGGGAGATATCTTATTGTTAAGGGTAAAATTGAAGAGGAGTTAATAACTTTAGTAAATGTGTATGCTCCACCCGATACTAGTAAACTGTTCTTCAAATCATTAATGGATGTAATTGTACTGGAAGCAGAGGGTATTTGTATATGTGGTGGAGATTTCAATGTGGTACTA